TATCACCAGCAGTATACAGCATAGTGCTTCAAAGGCAATCTCATGTCCTGAGCATCTACAAGTTTCTCTGCACCTGACATTTTGAAAAATTTATGCATTTATTTCTGAGCAATATGGAATTTTTATTAGGTTCAGCATGCAATCAAAAGGATCAGATCTTCTCTCCTGGCTCCCTGATACTAATTTAAATACCTAAACAGAACTGCTGCTGATTTCAGCCGGTGAGGATCATGTCTTAAAGTGTGAGTGATGAAATTGTGACCAATTCACTATATTCACAGTAAAAGGAATAAAGGATAGCTGAGGACAGTTCCTTAAACCTGAGTAGTCTGTGCTTAATAGATGTGGGCTGGCTTGACTGGCAACTGTACAATTTATGTTGCAAAATAGCACATGATGTATAAAATGTATTATGATTTTAATTAACTTATTTTCTGTCAGTTTTGACTTTGGGAAAGAGGACAGTTATGCAAAAGGAAAAAAACCCCACAACTTATTTGACTCCAAATAAAGTGATATGGAAAGGTTCTCAGAGTGTAGAAAACCAAATTAATCTTAGTAGAGCAATTGTCTTCTCTTTTTAATCATATAACTATATGACAAGTATAACAAGTGTTTTACACTGATGACAGTAGTATTTGGAAAATTCAAATAACACACATGCATATTCAGATATGCCAAATATTTCGTTCTCTTTTTAAAAGATAAATTTATAGAGACCCTCCCATACTATATCTGATCAGATCAAGCTTCCAGTTCACCCAGCAACCAGTCCTGATGGTGTCCTAAATGGGTCCCAGGGAAGAGTGTGAGAATGATTTATTATACAGCATTAATTCCCCAGAATATTTTTCAACCTCCAAGGATTTATGGCTGAGCAATTCCTGAATCAGATGCAGCAACTCTAATAGTTCTCAATGGTTTCTCTTTTCATCCAAGGACTTTAAATGTCTGGGAGTTTTTCCTGTCCACAGCGTCTTGTGGCAAGAACCTTGACAGCTTAACAATGCAATATGGTCTGTACGAGTTTATATCTAGTCCATACTAAAAGTATTGTTTAATATCTCCAGCAAAGACAGAGACAGTGTGATTGAGTGAACTCTAAGAAAATCTGCAAACACCACCAAGCTGTGTGGTGTGATTGACATGTGAGGGATGGGATGTCTTTCAGAGGGACCTGGACAAACTCAAGAAGTGGGCCTATGCCAAGCTCACAAAGTTCAACAAAGCCGAGTGCAAGGTGATGCACCTGGGTCAGGCCAACCCACAGTATCAATACAGGCTGGGGGATGAACAGACCAAGAGCAGCCCTGACAGGAAGGATTTGTTGGTGCTGCTGGATGAGAGGCTGGACAGGAGTTGGCAATGTGTGCTTGCAGCCCAGAAAACCAATTGTATGCTGGGCTGCATCAAAAGCAGTGTGGCCAGTAGGCTTGATCTAATTGATGTACCTGCTCATTGCAGAGAGGTTGGACTAGAGCATCTTTAATGGTCCCTTTCAACCAAATCTATTCTATGATTCTATCATTCTATTCAGAACAACTTAGTATTGCCAGCACACTAAGATATCTCAAAAATTTCTCCCTCTCATTTCTAGACCATTTATTAATACTGGGAACATTGCAGACCTCAGGACAAATCCCATGGATACTTCACTGGTAACCTCCTTCCTCTGAGAGAACTAACCATTTACTGCTGAATTCTGTCTTTTTTTATCCTCTGACTTAGATTAATTAAAAATAACCAAATAGGTTATATCAACCATAATTTCTTTATCCACAAGTATATTGGCTTCACTAAAGAATGATACTAGTTTTGTGAGGCATGATCCACCTTAAAAAATCCATATTGATTCTATGCCAACACACAATATCAATTCCTGAGTACACTCATTCTCCAAAAGAATTTCATGCAGTAACCCAGCTTCCAAGTTTCTCTAGAATCCTTGGGTGAATATCATATATTGCTGTTCATTATTAACAACTTCTTCCCTAAGTGCTTCTATCAGAACCAGCACTATGGAGTCTAATAACTTCTTGGAAACAATGTGTTCGCAAGTCGTTACACAATCTCAAGGTTATGATTATAGCCAGATAACCAATAGCTAGACTGAAACGTAACACAAATTATTGGGATTTGGTGAAAAAGGTATTCTTAAACCTGATGAAAATCAGGAATCCAACAGAACTGACTCCTTCAAGATTGATTTCCAACACTCAAAACTTAAATTATTTCTAACCTAACTTGAAATGTAACTGTAGAATTAATCTCTACAGGAATATGTAAACATGAAACATCAGCTGCTGATATCATTCATCATCCTAAACTTCCAGGTCAAACGTTTTCTTTCCCAAATATGAGACAAATCCCAACCATAATCCTACTTAATATATGGGCAGTGAACTAATTCTTGCAGCTAAAATGCATTAAAGAAAGTAGCTGTATCATCACAATACACTAGTGTCTCTAAATATTCTCTTCCCACTCAGGTGGACAAACTTCATAAGGAGTTGGAATAACACCATTTGCCCTTCATGACACTAACCTGCTTCCTATTACTGAAGCCGTTCTAGATCTAGTGACAAGCAAGGCCCAATGAGCACTTTTTTCTTAACTCTTGCTTTTAAGCCAAAAAACTGAAATCAAACCAAGTGACCGTTTCATTAAGAAAAAATGATTGAGTTTCACTAGAAAATTCGTTCTAATCTTTATTGACCCTAAACAATCCAACAGTGAGCTTGGCTGATGAAGATTCCCTCTTTTAGGTCATAATGCCACCCTAAACCTAAGCCTAATTTTCTTTTAATTCAAAATGGTTAGTTTGTATAGTAAATATGGATATAAGGCATTTGTTCCCAATTATGCAAACTTTCAAACTATCTCTGCCAGTATTGCAGAATGCAAGAATAAAAAGGCTTTTTACCTTCTTTTTCTGAAAACCCGATTCTAGCCCTAGCCCTAAAATTAACATGTACTGTAGAGAGGGAAGAATCTGTACTTGAATACCTAATATGAAGCATATGCTCCTGCCTACGCCATAGTACTCTCTCTGACATGTTTTTTTCCCAGTTCCCTAGCCTTATCCCAAGCCTTCCTTAAATGGAAGACGTGTCCAGGAATACTGAAAACAAAATATTTGCTTATGACTACACTAACTGCCTTATGAACTCTTATAAATCCAGCAAAAATCAGACTTGCTATAGCTTTCCTTTTCCTGATCCTAACCCTAACCCTATATTTCATCAGTTCCTAATGAAAAATTAAAGATATTCATCCCCAGTGATATCAACATTCTTATTCCTGCCAGTCATGTGGATCTGACATAAAAAGAGGTTCTTGAGCCTTTTTTGTTTTTTCAAATTTTAAATCTAACCTAAAGGTTACCTATACAAAAGAGCCCTCCAGAAAAATTGAACATTATCCATTCCCTCTTTCTTTTTTGGTAGCCAGGTAAGTATTTAATTATAAAATGACCTCTTCAAAACTTATTTTCAAATTTTAATCCAAAACTACTGTTTGAAAATCAGTAATCCAGAATAAAGTTCAAGAACTGGTGAACTTAACCACAGTGGCTATTAAAACAACTCTTTCAAAAGATTAAAGAGATGTTAAAGAACTATCTTAAGGCACTGGGTCAGGTAAAGCTCTTATTATAAGTACATTGTCTGAAGTTTAAGGCTGGTTTCAAGACCAGCCTTAAAAGAGTGAAACAGTGTTTAGCACTGAACAAGCATTAAATAAAGATAATGCTTGTCCCATGAAACTCACCACCTAAAAGAGAGCCTGGAAGAAGACAGGATGCTGTAGAAGGCTTAGAAGAGGACACTAGCAGAGTGATTTCATTGCAGATCTGCCTGACCCCCCTGACTAAATAAATGTCAACAGCAGAGAGATTATTTGACTGATATTGTTAAGTAATAACATGCCTTACAAAGACACGGTTTGAATGAGATAGCAGTATCTGGTATATCAAATTCCGAGGTTAGTTTACACTTGGAGCACTTGGTAGGCAATGCGAAGGTGGGAATGAGAGATAGAGTGGGATGTGAGAACCTCTGTGTATCATCTGTGCTTTTGCTCATTAGATGGGAAAAATGTACATTATATTCAGCAACGTATTTGTGGTTCTGGCACACATACAACCAGATTCAGATGTTGCCACATCGTTCTGCCTTATGTAACCCACAGTGATGACAGAAACCACTGAAAAGCTTGCTGCAAAGGACTGGTCAGTCTTTGAATGGCTAATGCTAACTAACTATCTCCACTGCTGGCATCTGTCATTCCAGAAATATCTGTTTTTAAAGGGATTTAAAAGAGCACTATAGACTGCACTACACATTATCTGCAGGCAAAACTGCAAGTGAAATTTTGGACATTTCTTGGTAAAACCATAGCTACCAACATGCCATCTAACAATTGCTCCAAGGTAATTCAGGTGACAATTTAACTGTAAAATGTGGATAAATTACAGAGAAATACATATACAATATAATATAATATATAATGTTACCTTTGAATCAGCTTCTTTCTCTGTAGAATTAATATTTTTCCCAATATGTATGTGTATTCTATTACACATACAATAATTTATAATACCAAAAAAAAAAGTAAAGCCAGATTCAACTGGAAAGACAAAAATCCATCCAAACCACTTTTACTGAATTATTAAGCATGCCCTGCAAGAAAAGCTTCCATGGTCTTGTCAGGAGGGGAAGCAATTTATCACTGAATCCAGCCCTTAGGTATCTGGACAGAATTTCAGATTTCAGAAGTGGCTCTATGGCTTTCTTTTACAGGTTAAAAATACTTGTTAAAGCCGTCTAAACTGTTGCTAAGAGAAGTGACACATTTGGCAGGGATTTGTGAGTGATAGCTGGAGATTCTTGAAAATAAAGTAGATTTGGCTTACATGGTTTTTTAATTTACTTCAGAATCTTTAGTAATAGTTACAGATAAAATTCAAATCATTATATAACACAAATTGAGTATACACTCACCAAAGGACTTCTATGTCTTCTTCAGAATCTTCCTACGAAGCACCATCAGCTGAGACAGAAATACACCATTTAGATGTAAATTTTAAAACCTTTTCAGAAATTTAAAATAAATATCTTCCATGTCATACATGGATTTAAATACAGGTTTCCTCCTGCAATAGGGAACACTGAGCCAGACTCTCAGCTCTTCACAGCTCTCTACGCCAGTGTACCTTGTGTGTTAGTCATTCAGATTGCTCATATGCTGGAATAAGTGAGCTGGGATTTAGATTTGGAGGAAGACTATGACTAGGAACCAATTTCACAGGTTATGTATTTTTATGAAATCCTTAAGAAAATGAGAAGTCTGGTCTTTTTTCTGTTTTCACTGTTTGGAAGAGAAACATGATGTTACTGAAATACTCTGTGTGCTGCTAAATGGTACTATAGAAATATGCAGGCAATGATTTAATATGAATTAAATTGTTCCTTCAAAACTCAAAGTTCTGAAACAGTGAAGTTCTAAACCACTCCTTGACTAGAAGCACATGACCATTCCCATCAGCTTCCCCTGGGTGTCCTCAATGGTTTATGAGCTGCCTGTTGGACTAGATCATGGTCATGTACTCTGAACTCTTTTGAGCTCTGAAGCTCAAAAGCAGTCTGTAATTGAGTTCTTAGCATTAACACCTCAGACTGCCCTTTGCATTCCTAAAGTGTTATGTGTTTTTTAAATAATAAGGAAAAATAAAGCCTTGATGTTGTTCTGTAAGCATTGTTGTCAGTCCTAAACAGCTCCAAAACTTTTAATAGAAAGAGTGGAGTATTGCTTGAGATTTTCAGGCATTCAGATGCCAAACTTCTTTAAGAACCTTTGCATTAGTTGTAGCCATGACCTCAGCTAACCCAAAGAAAGCCACAGGCACGTCTCCTTCCCTATTGGCAGCTACTTTAATTGGCAGGTTCACAATGAGCACTTTTGTTTGCATCCTAAACATGCACAGCATGATTAAAATGTTTAATACTTTCATCCTGAAAGTGCAGCAATCAATATGTTGGGGTTTTTAACAGGCCAAGTCATTACACATTTAAATAACATCATTCAAACACTTAAGGAACTTGTTTTACAAGGACTAAAAAGGTTCCCTATTGAAAATTATATGGATTTAGCTTAGTTTAAAAATAGACATTTTGTTTGTTTTCCATTCAGTTACTCTACTATTTGCTGCTCTTTGCTTGCATATGTAGTCTCTGAGTATTTTACTACCCCCTGCTGTATGGAAAGAAAACTGTGCAATAGCTGTGGACTGTGCTGCTAACACCTCTTGAGAGCTCCCCATCAGCTGGAACACCAAGGGGATGGATTCAGAGTGGTTGGAGATACAGGATACTGTTTGGGTTGTCACATGAAGTTCCTAATGGGTATGGTGTGGATAACAGGGAACAAAGTTTTCTTGACAGCTCCGAGATCATAGACCGTTGCTGCAGCAGCATGGTTACTGGGTTTGTGTAGTGCATATCATCATGTTTCCCAAGCAACTAAAAGTGCTTTGTGAAGCAATGAGTCAGATGCTGGTTGTGCAGTAACCACACACAGAGATTTATGTTTTCAGAAACTATGTGTCCAAGAACAGGATATTGTTATATATGTCTCTAGCACTAACACTGTTGAGCAGCCACTGAATCAGACTGACCACCTCTAAAGCATGTGAGCAACATTTGGTGTACTACTGTGTACCAGAACAACCCACATAATATTCACTCAGTTGGGCTCCTACATTATGTGAAGAAACTCCACTCTCAGTTCAGCTGAATTCTTGGTTAAGGGCATAATACTGAATTGCCTTCCACACTCACACAAGAAAATGCACATTCCATGTGCAGTTTGCAGGTCAAATAAAATGCACACTCAAATATTGCTCACCTATAATCGGAAGCTGGAGACAAACATTTCTCTTACATTTTTTTCCCAAAGTAATTTGCCAGAAAATCTTGTTCTTTTACAATCGGTTCCCTGTACTGGAAGAAAAGGGATTTGAATTTGTGCTCAGTGGCATTTCCTCTCCCGCTGCAGTTCACACAGGGTTAACTTGATGTTCACACAGGGTAAACTTATTTGAAACTGAGCATCCCCTGTGGAGGCTGGTTGGTGACTGGTTCGCCATAGCCCTGCCCCACCTTCCTGGCTGAGCAGCAAGGTGGTCAGCTCCCTGGACTCTCCAGCTATTTGTCCTAGTCATTAAACTGGAGCACCTTCAAAAACACTGCTTTTTAAAGGCAATTCATGTTGGACTGTAACCTACTGTCAGGAATAATGGTAATTAATATATGTATTCCCCAGCAGTAGAACAAGTAATAAATAGGAAGTCCCAGAGTTCAGATTCAATCCCTTGGTCCACAGGGGAAATAACCTGCTCCAAAACTTTTGCTGTCTCCGGTCATTTTCCGGTCTGTGCCAAAACTGATGCATGACCAGTGATAGACAAAATCTGCCATATCTTCAGTCCTATTTGCAGTCTAACATTGCCTGCACGTGAGACAGCCAGCAGTTTAGCATTGCCTATTCTTCCCCTCCACCTTTGACAATAGGCTTAGGCAGAAACAGAAAGGAACTGCTTATAATCACTTGTTCCTTTGGGTGAGCAGGGACCTTAGTCCATAAATAATTTCTGTTGCTCTGGCACAGTGCCTCTGTCTCTGAGTAACGCACCAGTCTACCACCCTCTCTTCAGGACAAGCAATCTGTAAAGGGTACACAGCAGAATGGCCACATGATTTCATTCACTGCAGCAAAATGGGCTCGGCAGGTACAGGCAGACAGCAGTCCAAATTCCATTTCAGTTCCTAAAACAGAACCGATAATCACAGAAACACAGAATGTGTCAAGTTTAAAAGGAATCACAAGGATCATCAAGTCCAACTCCTGGCCCTGCACAGGACCATCTCCAAGAGTCATACCATGTGCCTGAGAGTATTATCCAAACACTTCTTGAACTTTGCCAGGCTTAGTGCTGTGACCACTTCCCTGGGGAGCCTCTTCCAGCATCCAACCACCCTCTGGGTGATGAACCTCTTTCTAATATCCAACCTAAACCTCCCCTGGCACAACTTCAGGACATTCCCTTGGATCCTGTCACTGATCACCATGTAGAAGAGATCAGTGCCTGCCCCTCTTCTTCCCCTACGAAAGAAGCTGTAGGCTGTAATGAGGCCTCCCCTCAGTCTCCTCCAGGCTGAACAGACCAAGTGACCTCAGCAGCTCCTCATACGGCTTCCCCCAAGGCCCTTCATCACCTTCATTGCCCTCCTTTGGACACTCTCTCGTAGCTGAATATCTTTCTTACATTGAGGTGACCAAAACTGCACACAATATTCAAGGTGAGGCCACACCAGTGCAGAGCAGAGAGGGACAATCACCTCCCTTGACCGGCTGGAGATGCTTTGCCTGATGGCCCCCAGGACACAGTTGGCCTTCCTGACTGCCAGGGCACTGCTCACTCATGTTCAACCTGACACTGACCAGGACCCCCAGGCCCCTTTCTGCAGTACTGCTTTTCAGCATCCCTTTCCCCAGTCTATAGGAACATTTGGAGTTGCCCTTTCCCAGGTGAAGAATCCAGCACTTTCTGGTTTTGGACTTTATATGGTTGGTGACTGCCCTGTCCTCTGATTTGTTGAGGTCTCTCTGCAGGGTCTCCCTGCCTTGAAGGGAATCAACAGCTCTGTGCTATCTGCAAACTTGCTTAGTATCCCTTCCAGTCCTTCATCCAAGTAATTTATGATGTTGAGGAGCACAGGGCCCAAGATGAAGCCCTGTGGAACTTCACTAGTGACACATAGCCAGACTGATGTTACTCCATTCACTATTATCTTTTGTGCTCAACTTGGACTATGGACCTTCTGATGGCGTTCAGCATTGAGTGATGCTAGTGGATTATAAAGGTACAACCGGCAGAGGCTGTGTATGATATACCATGAAAGAGATGGTTTAGCCAGACAGTTTCATACAGCCAAGTCTTTGTAAATCTAGTCATGTCCAGTACAACCGACTTCTCTAAATTTCTATTAGCAATTCTTATAAGAAATAATGCATTTGACTGTATTTTGCTATGATGTCAAATACATTATTTGATAGATTCTTTTTTAATTTTTTTTCAGACAGTTTAGATAACTCTAATAATAAAAATGCCTTATTCTGTCTTCATTCAATTCACTTCCAAATTCAGAAAAAAAAATCAAAACTAAACATCTACCAAATGTTATTCCTCTCCAACTGAATGTGATGGATGGTCTGAGGATCACATAAAAATTAAACAAAAAGTGCATTGTTCCCTTCCAGATTTTTCAGCTGGTGTAAATCAACATAGCTTCATTGAGGCCAAGTTGCAGAGATGTACATCAATTGAGAATCTTGCCCTTCATCTTCAGAGAGAGATATTTTACCTAGAATTTAGTTTCTCTGTCTTTTCAGGGTCAGAAAAACTTCAACCTACTTTCTTTTCATGCTCTGCATATCACAATAAATAATCTCCATTTTGTGAAGTTCATTACTGCTCCTAACCTGAGAAGAGGTCCCATGGAGAAGGCACAGAGCAGATGTATCTGGTCAGCCACTCTGTCCAAGACTGTCTGGCTCAGACCCAGGCATCGTAATTACTCAGTGTTTCAGTTCTGATTTGTGAAATACATCATTAGCAAAGAGAAATACACATAGGCTTGTCCATTGATCAGGTTCCATGACGCTATAAAATCTATAAAAACTTAATATCAAAATGAAATAATGTCAATTTAATTTAAAATGTAGTCTTAAAAGTACTATCATTTTTCATTCAGTTTGATCCTTCTGACTCCTTTATTCCCTCTCCCTGAAATCCAGAGGAGCCCAGCTACAGCAAGGACCAGGTATCCTCTTCCAACCATCTGTGAAGCTGCAACCATGAGGGAGAAGGAACCTTTACAAGGTTAAACTCCAGGACTGTCAGGCTCCAAAAGCCTTTTGCTCAGGGTGTCTCATGCACAGGCAGAAAGGTATCTGCAGCCCAAACTCAGGAAAATGACTGCATCACGAGTCCACGTCTTCACTTCTCCAACGGAGTTGGGAGGGACCCAGCTCTTAACCATCATCTCTAAAATGACACTTACAGACTTTTTACCCTCACTTGCTGAAGCACCATTGGATGTTTGTCTTCCTTCAGCTTTCTCTCCCTCCCTCCCTGTGATCC